TATGAGCTATAAGTTAATGATGATTGATTAAAGCTTCACTTTATTTTAAAGAACATGTTTATTAAAAGATTTAGTTGTATTTATTTCCAGGAGCAGATCACTCTGTTGAGTTCATTTCCACTGATGCAACTCACAAATAAAAGTCTTTAGATCAACAAAAACAGTTTGTAGCAACATGTAATAGTTTAAAAAAATTATTTTTTTATTTATCAATCAAACAAAGCAAGCCATTTATATCTTATGTAGAAAACATTTCGGCAGATAACTTTGTGTAAAGGTCAAAAATTATTTTTTGTACTCAAACCTGTACCTTGTATTGAATGAGGCATGAATACAAGATTATGTAGTTTGTTTTGTAGTAGATCTGGCATAGGAGGGAAGGGATGGGAGGGTTTTTTTGGGGGGTGTGTGTTTTGTTTTGTGTTTTTGTTAGTTTGTTCTTTTCTGTTGTTTGTGTTAAAAAWWWWAMWWAAAAAGACCTTGATCAAAAACAAAGCAGGCTTGTTGCACTAAGGAAACAACACATGATTTAAACTCAACAGAATCTGCTCATTAAATCCAATTTAACAATCAAATTAATCATTTAAAGATTGACCCAATGAGCTTTCCGTACTTGCACGTCACTCAAAAAGCACTTGGAGGTGCTTTGCTCCGCGTGCTGTTAAATCTGTGGATTATGTCATCCTCATGTGTAAACAGCTCATCAGAGGTGACGTCATCACACCTAATGTCTCCACAAGCGTCCTGAGGTCTGTTTTAAACTGTTTAATCCCTTCCTTCAGTTAAAGCGTCACAAAAGACAAAAACGTTCAAACTAAATGTCACATTTTAGATTTTTTAAGGATTAAAACAAACTGTTTGTCAGCTGGGATTTCAGAAAAACTGGTTTTATTCTGATAAAATGAGAAAACGTCACGCGGAGGCTGATGAGCGTCATTTTAAATATTTTTTAAAAGTAATTTTTCTGAACGTGATCTCAAACCTACCCTTCATCCGGGCCCACCGGGTCATCAGAACCGCTCGGTTCCAGAACCGAGCCGAGGAACCGCGGCGAGGAAGAGGAGCAGCGGACAAGCGCGAGGAGGAAGATGAAGAGCGTCATGTCTGCTGTGTTGGCTCCGAACCGGGCCCGCCGGACTGGACCGGACCTGCAGGTGAGGAGTACAGACTGTATGCAAACGATGAAGGAGGAGGAAGAGGAGGCTCAGGGGGGGGTCACACAGGGCCCCTCTCATCAAATCCGAGACCAGAACCGTCCCGAACAGAACAAAACCAACAACTTTTACTTTAAATCAAAAACATCCTGTAGTTTGGTTCTGTTGGATCACTGAGAGCCGGACTGATCCGACCTGTCCCTGCTGGTTCTGCGAGCTTCAGCTTCAGAACCGAACAGGTTCTAAGACGGGAAAAATATAGTTTTACCTCAAATGAAGTGGTGTTCAACAATAATCTGTTCAAACAAATCTTAAAATCTTTGTTTTCCTGCCAGATTATACCAGAAAAATAAAATAAAAACTATTCTTTTTTTTTGTTTAACCTTGTTTGTTTTAATGCGTAAAATGACTCAAACTGTCCTTTTTTTTTTTACACAAAATAATCTATTTCCCCTATCAGATCACAGCTTATTTAAAAAAATCTTTAAACTACAAAAAAAAATGTTAAAAATGTCAGCAGCCTCTTTTTGTTTTCTGCAAACCTTGGTCCAAACTGCACTTCTCCTCGTTTGTTCTCTTATTTATTATTTATTTGTTTGTTTGAAACCTCCCCTCCACCAGAACTGTCCTGTTCCGACTCCACTCTGCCCTCCTGGAGCCCTTTGCCCCGACGAGCAGAAACTCCACCAGTCCACCTTAAAAACCTTTTTCCGGTTTCTGGACATCCCCTTTAAGAGCAGGCTGCAGTTCCGGGCGCGGCCGGCAGGGGGCGCCGTGAGACCGCGGAGCGCCACTCAGACACGTTTTTTTTTCTCTCGTCTCATTTTCTCAGTATTTTCTGCTCGTTTTCGGTTTTCTGCAGCAGCGGAGCTTTGAGAAGCTCTCACTGCATAAAAATACAAAMTATGACTCGATAACAAAGAAAATCAAGCTGCTTTTATGCATTAGAAGCGAGTTTGTAGTTAATAATAAAAATAAATAAAAAAAA